TAGATGGTAGAAGGCATCATAATGTTTTGATTGCAAAAAAGAGGAAAGTTTCAGGAGCCACTAAGTAGGCAGCAAGCAATTGTTTGTCCCCTAGCTCCAGAGGAATTTTTTTGGGATTCTCTTCTCCTGATGTTTCTTCTGGAGAGAGAAAAAGTGGACAGTTATATTGCCCCTTTCCACATATCCACAGAGTTTTGGGTTTTTTAAAAAAAAAACCCACATTGCCAAATATTAGCAATTTCCCACCTGATTTTTTGGGTGATGCAATCTTGAAGGAGGAAGGAAAGATGCTAAGATCTACAAAAACAAGGGCTGGGTTTCACATGTTCCCTTGGGCTCTGAGTGGCCCAGCCTTAGCTTATGTTATCAGTGTGTGCCTACTTTTTTCGTTATTTGGATGGAAAATTAAATAAGAAAAGATTCCTGCAATGTGTGAGATGTGAAACAATAACACTACGAGGAGAGTTTCTTTCTACATGTTTTTGTAGGGAGACTCAACAATCATTTATGGAAGTGTAACTTGAGGGGGTGTTTTGTTAATAGGCTCTTGCTGATTATTTTTTCAAATGGAAAAAACTGGAGCAAGCCAGCAATTTCAGTTTGCTAAGATGTTCCTGGAAAACTCTGGACATTGTTTAATGTGTTCCAAAGCATGTTCTGACCTTGATTTCACTGAACTCATTGGTGCTTTTTCCTGACTTTAGATCTGTTTTTGAGAAGACTTAGGAGTCTTAAAATAACATTATTTTTATTTTAGTCTCCTTTTTGTGATACTGGTTGTTAATTTACAAATGTAATCTACTGATTTTATCTTACTGCTTTACTGCTTTTAATTACTTTGAATAACCTTTGCACTTTTTCCAGAGAAATCCCAATGATTGGGCAGTAAATATATTTTAATCCAGCTGTTCTGAACCAAATCCTACTGAGTTCAATAGATCTTACCTCAAGTAACTATAGGATTGCAGCTTTAAATATTTTCTCTGCCAGGTTTCACAAATTGGATCTGAGGTTTTTTTCAGATTACAATATTTTAATGCAATGGTAGTGAGTTTTAGAGAACCTATCCATGTTTTATAATTGCTTGCTTCCAAAACATTTTCACAAGTGGTCATAAATTGATGATAGCTGTGCCTGTTAGCACAGTCCTTCATGGACTACAATCCAATTTAACTGATGTATGGGAGTAGTCTTTAGATGATACCTAATTATGCATAGACACAGTGAGCAAAACTAACAAAAAAGATTAAAATGTAAAGCCAGAAAGAAACATAGTGGGCTAATATGAGTAATCATATGGTTCTTTTTAGGGAGAAAATAAATGTAACTTTCCTCCCAGATAGGATGAATCTGATCCAGTTAGAGATTCTTGAAAACTATCATGTCTGGAATCTTTCTAATGAATCTGAACTATAATTTCCTGTGCTACACATCTTGTTCTTTTTAACCAGACTTCGTTCTACAGTTGTTGACCCAGACATGGATCCATGGCAGAAACATGGAGAATTTAAACATTCAGAGTTTTAATGGCCCATTGTTTGAATGCTGTTGAAACTGAGCCCAGATTCAATTAAGGCTGCACAAAGATCCTTCTAAAGTGCTACCTTAGTTGCCCAATGGACAAACTTGGCATCTGGGATTTTTAATCTGAATCTGAGAACATTAATCTCACCGCAATGGGATTTGTTTTGTTAAGAGATTACTCCCAAGTTCATTTCACTACTTGTATTATGTGTACCTAAGCATTAAGATAAGGCAATGTCGATTAGATAGGGCACCACTACACCAGAGCTCAAAGTTGATTTAAGAATCAAGATTCAGGAAATTCTGAAAATGATAGTGGAGGGTGTTTTCGGCCCCTATACCAGTGGTGGCAAATCTATGGCACGTGTGCCAGAGTCGGCACTCAGAGCTCTCTCTGTGGGCACGTCCGTCATGCCCCGGAGATGGCAACTGTCCCTCTTCAACCAGCTGCCCGCTAACTCGCCGAGGTCCCACATGACCGGATGCATCCCAGCACCCATGTGCTCGTTGGCCTCTGTGTGCAGGGGCCGATGGTGTCAGGAGCAGCCGCCCAGCCCCTGCCTCACCTTGCCCTGTGACAATGGCACCCCCGCCCTGCCTTGCCTCACCTTGCCTCACCCAGCAGGACGAGCCTCCTGCCCACCGCCCCACCTGCCAGAGATCCCCTGGAACTCCCCCAACCCTGCCCGGCCCCCACAGCCGTTCCTCCCCATGAGCAACATTGAGGTGATCATGCCCACCTTGGCCACATCCACCCAATCTGCCATGACCACCATAGCCACGCCCACCCAGTGGGCCATGCCCACTTGGCACCCGGCGATAAATAAGTGGGGTTTGGATTGCAGTTTGGGCACTCAGTCCCTAAAAGGTTCGCCTTCACTGCCCTATACTTATTGTATAAAATGAGCATTAAGTAGTCACTAAGAGTGGCAAGCCATTCCACCAATTAATTGTCCTCACTGTCAGGAAATTTCTCCTTAATTCTAAGTTGGATCTCTCCTTCATAAGTTTCTATCAGTTGCTTCTTGTCCTGCCTTCAGGTGCTTTGGAAAATAGGTTGACCCCCCTCTTCTTTGTGGCAGCCCCTGAGATATTGGAAGACTGCTATCATTGTCACCCTTTGTCCTTCTCTTCATTAGACTAGACATATCCAGTTCCTGCAACCCTTCTTCATATGTTTTAGTCTCCAGTCTCCTAATCAGATAATAATAACTGCATAACAATAATCAGATAATAAGATCTTCAGGGTGTCTACAAAGCCCACTCCCATCTCCATTTTAGTATTTCCAAGCTCACACCCATATTATGAGTAGGAAAGAAAATGATCCTTCACAAATGACATTCAAATTATTTCTTTAATGAAATACCACATCAAATTATATAGAATAACATCTGAATAGGAAAGCACGGTGTGGATTTTGTATGCACATCAAGAGGGATGTTGCAAAGATTCTGCAGCATGATTTCATCTTGTTCTTTAAAAGCTGGGATACGGTATTTAAATACAGTTTTTTGCTAAGGATGGCCTAAATAGACTCACTTTTTCTATGAGACAAAATGAAGTTTCTTGAAACATGGACACTGTTCTTCATATTAGAAATGATGTTACGAATCTACAGAGATCATGAGAATAATCACAATATTTGTTTACAGACCATTTAACAGGAAAAAAAAATCAACACTTGACTTTATGGTACATTAGGATTTATTCATGCATTTTTTCTTTGTTACGCTGGAGTGTGTATATGTGCTTGTTCCTAAACACTAATAAAATATGAATTGATCTGAGATATCATAAAAACAGAGTTGGAAAGATCTTGTAGATCATGAGGTCCAACCTTCTGCTGAGTTCGGGAGATCCAGAGCTACAGATCCTTAAGTGTTGGGCTAGCATCTGCTTGAAAACCTCCAATAAAGGAGAAGCTACTGTCTGTCTCCATAATTGATTTAATTATGAACTGCTTTTACCACTGAGGCATTTATCTTGATTTTTAAGCAACTTACGGAGAACTTGTAGAATTATTTTTGAGGATTTGTTCTCTGCCTTCTTTCAATATAGCTAATCCTGAGTTTGTACTGGCACAGCAGATTGAGCTGAAATCGTTCTTGTCTTTAACTCAATACAATGCACTTAAATGAAAGTCACATGGAATACATATTATAAATTAACATCTGATTCCATTCTTCCCATCAGTTAAAACTGAGGTAAACTTGAATAACAAAACTTCACTTAGATTTGCATGTGGATAATTTATTCTAGCAGTAAATTGCCATCAAGAGTCTGCTCTCCAGAGATTTGATCCTCAGAAGAAGCAATGGCAAAAACAGCAGCTTATATGCAAATATGGTCCAAGGATTGTTTCAAGAAAGTAAGACAATGTTGGAAAACTTGTGGTTCTCCAATCAGGATAAATAACCATTCCCACAGGCCCAGCCAACATGGCAGAGAATCAAGAATGCTGCAATTGTCGTAGAGCCTCTGATTTATGCAAAGGCTACCTTGGAATAGACTGAATGGACACCAGAGATAGCATGGGGTCATGCCAACTAGCTATTCTTCCATTTATTTTCATGTAACTTTTGAAATAACAACACATGCACATAGTCACTGCATCAAGATCCTATGAACACTGATTATGTTGAATGTGCATTGGGGAAACAGACAGGAAATAGGCTTCTGATACTGTTTTGTTCCCATATTTGTTTAATATAATATCTGTGCACTGTGTCAGTATTCTATACAGTATGTATCACTTAATCTTGGCTTATTGAATATGTCATCATAGGCTGGGGGTGATGGCTTACCACAGCGGTGGCGAACCTATGGCACGCGTGCCAGAGGTGGCACTGGGAGCCCTCTCTGTGGGCACACGCACCGTTGCCCCAGCCCCACCTTCTCCCATGGCCCCCTCCTCATCAGCAGCCCCCCCGGAGAATTGCCCCCAGGCACGGTCCACGCAAAGCAGCACAACCAAGGACAAGGTAGCCGGGCAGCGGGGACAAGACTCCACCCTTGCCCCCCATCGTGTGCAGATGCTGCTGCGGGGCACAGGTGGAGGGCGTGGCCACCATGGTGCTGCTGGATTGCCTGGGTGATCTGTGGCGGGCCATGGAGGTGGTGAGTGGCCCAGCGGGCAGGGTGGAGCGGGGAAAGGGGTAGGGGGGCGGTTTGGGGGCACTTGGTCTCTAAAAGGTTCACCATCACTGGCTTAGCATATTGTGGGAATCAAATCATTGTGACTTAGGAAACCATGATTAAGTAAACCATGCCTTAGTGTGATGTGTACATTTAACAATATTATCATCATTATTGTCAGGCCTTGGTTTTTCTAGGCATAACCAAGCAGCTCACCAGCTATGAGGATTTTAGAGTTCAAAGAAGTTATTTGAGCTTATTTGACAAATGGCAATTAAAATTCAAGGCTGCACAGCAATTGATTAGTCTCTTGGGGGAAAAACCAAACTCTTTGCACAGATGTATTTATTTAAACGCTATTGTCAGAATGGCATTTGGTTCTTATGGGACATGTTTAGCTCTGAGGAGTCAGATGTAATAGGAGAACTATTCATTAGAGCAAACAATAGCTAATTGCACATTTCAAATGGCAACTCCTTTAAGGGCATTTTTATGGTCCATTGGAAACGGATATTTGTGACAGGAGACAGGCACATGAATAAACATTTCTTACCACTTATCTGGCCAAGGAGCACAGAAACATTTCATTGATGGTGCAAAAGTGACACGAAACGTTACACATTTTGCTTTCCCATGTGAAAGACGTTTTTGTGTAGACCACATTTCAGTCTGGAAGCCACTGCTTTGAAATGTTGATACCAGCAGTGTTTGTGCCTGCAAATTCATTGCCAGAATGCTTGCATGGTTTTCTGGGACAGGGAAGTCACCACTAGAAAATGTACTGTATCTGGCAGGTATATTTTCTGGCTTGAAAGATTCAGAACAACCAACTGAGATGGCAAATACTTCTTGTAAATATGTGCTTCCATTTAGAATGGCATTGAAGAAAATATGGAACATTTGGAAAGTGTGCCTCACTATGTTATGGGATGGCAATGGCAGACAGCAAAAGTACTGTATACTGTGGATGCTCGGTTCACCCCACAGGGGTTACCAACCGCTCAAGCAAAGTGCGACTTCTGAAAGCACCTAAATGCTGCAGAATAACTGGAACTGGTAAGACATCCTCCATCTTGTTTTCATGGATTTCCTCTGCCACCTTTTCCTAAGTCCCGTCAGGAGAAGGTTCTATTCTCTGCAAGCAATGAGATTATAACATTATAAGAACTAATGAAACATAGCACACACAAGAAATGCACTATTTCTTTGAATGGAAACCTCCATTCTGTGAAGTAACGCATATTCAGTATGATCGGTAACCACTGATGGCCTTATCTTTTAGCACCAGGGATCTCCAAACCTGGGAAGACTTGTGGACTTCAACTCCCAGAATTCCATGCTCTAGCATGTCATACTATGGAAACTAATCAACAAGAGAAGCAACCTAGAACTAAGGAGAAACTTCCTGACAGTTAGAACAATTAACCAGTGGAACAACCTGCCTCCAGAAGTGGTGAATGCTCCAACACTGGAAGTTTTTAAGAAGAGACTGGACAGCCATTTGTCTGAAATGGTATAGGGTTTCCTGCCTGAGCTGGGGGGTTGGACTAGATGACCTCCAAGGTCCCTTCCAACATGATGATGATGATGATGATGATGATGATGATGATGATGATATCTTAATATTGCATATATCACAAGATAGGTTCTTGGTATATGAAGAAGTTTAGCCTTTTTTGTATCATATGTCCTCAGCTTCTACAAATTGGCTTCATACGTTGATCGAGCGTTTGACAGAAAGAAAATCTTGGCTCTAGATTTTCTCCACATCATGCAAGATTTTAGAAATCACTACCATGTCCCATCCTCTCAGATATTTGTTTTCTATTATAAAAATCCCCAGCTTTACTCATAGTGTAAGTTCAAGTGTAAAGTAAAGAAGTGCATTTTTATTATATACCTTTGATTTATATGGCCACCCATCTTGCTGCGGCACCACATAACACCACATAAAAACACAGTATCAAATAAGCACCAGTAAACAACAGTATATAAAGACAATAATGGCAATTGACAACAAAATGACAAGATTTCACAAGGGCACCAACTAGCCTCCCAACCCCCATGTCTGGGAATACATTAATTTTTTTAAAACTTTCTGAAAAATTGGATGGTCTGGGCCAGTCTAATTGTGGAGAGAATATTGTTGCAAAGGGCAGACCCTGCAACAGAAAAGATCTGCTTTCTGACTCTTGCTCGATAATCAACAGTACCCCAAGTATGCCTCTCCTGTCAAGCAACAGAATGGGTAGAAACAATAAAAAAAAAGATAGTCCTACATGTTACTCCAGATTTTTGATTCTAGTTACCACTTTCTACATTTTTACATCGCTACAATAATTTTTTGAGGTTTAATTAGGAGATCAGTACATCATATTTTAAGTGGGACTGTACTCTAGATTGCATAAAGAGTCGTTTACTGATACAGGTGGCTATAGAAATCAATTACGTAAATAAAAAAGCATTACAATGCTGACAGTTTTTATTTTATTTTCCTAATGGCCTCTAGTACAAAATTGCCCTTTTCACCAAACAACTGAACAACTGTACAGTCAGTTTTTTTTACTGAGCATCCCATCCAGATCTCTTTCCTAGTTAGTCATTGCTAACTCAAAGGTTGTCAGAGCATAGATGTTTATTTCCGATTCGCAGGATGCTACGTTTTTTTAAAATTCAATTGCATCAGCCATTTTAATACAAAACAATGCTCCAATCTGAAGAGAC